GTTGCATTTTTCCAGGATTACATAGCACTGGTGAGGAAAGGGAGGCAAAGCTGTCTCTTTCCTAGTATCCTGTTTCTTTGATGTCTTCTTTCCTGCTTATTATACTCCTTATTATCCTCCTGCCATTGCCAGATTCCAGACTCGAGTCAGGAGGAATCTAAGTTCACTTTATTGTGATGTCTCTTTCTGAAATGTCAATTTCAGTAGTGTTAATATAATTTATATATACAGATATTGAATTGTTTGGAGCTCTCTTTGTACTGATGTTTTATAGTCAAAGCAAGGTGATTATCAGCCCACTCAAAGAAATGGACACAAAGTTCTCTTTCTTTTACAGAGATGAATGCTGTAGACTTGGGGAGTAGAGTAGCTCTATATATGCATTACAGCTCTGATACGTATGAAAAATCTTGGGATCAATTCTTCTGTATGCCACAAAAGCTCCATTATGTGAACCTCAACACTGCTAAAAGAATTGTTGTACTGAGTCCCACGCCTCTAATGCATATTAAATATTAACCTTCCTGTAAATCCCAGAGAATATTTAATAAGGTCGAGACACATTTTAAAGTACAGATTCACTTCCAGTTTTCCTTTGCATTGGTCAGATGAATCAAACCAGATGTCAGGTTTTAGTTTCTCCATTGGAGATTTCACGATGGAACTGTGGAAATATCAAAAAGTCACTTCATCTGCACAGATAATTTATCCTGAATCTGGAAATGAGCATTGAGACAGTGATTTAATCTAAAATGCATTACAAGATCAAAGCGTATTAGTGGGAAAGGCTTGCATTTGAGCTTTCTTCATCAACATTAATTGGATTAAATTACCTGCAGTGAAGTGAAAGCCTGTGAGGGAACCGAAAGGAGGGAACTTAAGAAGTAAGACAAAATAAGGCATATTTTATGCATTTTTCTTCTATTGTGACATCAGGGGATATTGACTGAAGCAATTCCAAAGCAGGTGAACCTAAGGGTACAAACTAATTGTTGTGGGCTAGAAAAGAAATATGGGCCCAGGGAAATCATTCCTACATTGGGAAGAGAGTAGACGAGTATTGCTGCAAGACAGACGGCAAGAGAGAGGAAACACTACACTCAATTCCAAGCCAAGTTTCAGTCAGGCAGACCATTGAGATCTTGGTTTTGTCATGAGAAAAGCTACCTTAGTTGAGCAGAAAATGATGTAGTGGAGCATGACTGGAGTGACTTGGAATCAGACAAAAGATTGAAGCAAAATGGAACATTCTTGGACCAATATAGTATTGTAGCAAATACATGTGTGGCATTCTAGGTAAGAAAGAAAGAAAGAAAAAGAAAGAAAGAAAGAAAGAAAGAAAGAAAGAAGAAAAGAGGAAGGGAAGGAAGGAAGGGAAGGAAGGAAGGAAGAAGGAAGGGAGGAAGGGAAGGGAAGGAAGGGAAGGGAAAGGAAGGGAAGGAAGGAAGGGAAAGGAAGGGAAGGAAGGGAAGGGAAGGGAGGAAGGGAAGGAAGGAAGGGACGGGAAGGAGGATTTTATTAGTAGCTGTCTTCTGGAATGACACTCACTTTAGAAGTCATTTCTTTTATGGCCATGTATCAATAAGGACTTCATCACATTGAGGCTGAAAAGCTAGGAGATAGTGGGGGACACTGGGGAAAACTGTGGGGCAGCATCACTCTGTGTTCCCTTGCTGTTGTGGGATCTCCTCCCACAGGCCTGTAGCCAGGATTTCATTTCGGGGGGGGGGGCTAAAAAATTTTCGGGGGGTTGGGGGGGGGGCTGAGTTTCGGGAGGGGGCTGAGTCTGAGTGAAAGAGGGTCTACCCTAGCAAACCTTTTGTATCATTACCCCAATACCCCCATGCATATGGGATATATTGAGTATGGTGATCAGATCATGATATGAATAAACATAACAGTTTAAATAATGCACCATAAGGCCTTTTTGCGAACCACCATGAGAATTTCGGGGGGGGGCTGAAGCCCCCAAGCCCCCCCCCCCCGGCTACATGCCTGTCCTCCCACGACACTTCCCCACTGTCCCAGGCTTTTTCCTGCTTCCTCGCCAGCCTTTTCTATAAGGAATCAGGTATACATCCAACTCCTCTGAGCTCCTGGCACAGAGCCCAACAGAGCCTCACTGGAAGTAGCTCTGCATCATCTGATGGGCTCTAGGGGACTCAGTGCAGGCAGCACAGAGAAGTGGGGAAAAGATGCTTCTCTGCCTCAATGTGATGACGTCCTAAGTCATTTTAGTGAATCGCAAATTATCCATCAGCAGCTGGTATTCAACATTGCATTTATAAATATATTCATAACCAGACTTATGGGTCTTTAGCTAATATGTATTCAATAAGATTGTGTATGAGGTTTGGACTCTTTCTTGGGATGCTTTTGGGATGGAGCTAGGACGGAGCCCGATGGAGCCCATCACATGACACAGGGCTACTTCCAGCAGGGCTCCATCCTGGAAGCATCCTAGGATGATGATGATGATGATGATAATAATAATAATAATAATAATAATAATAATAATAATACTTTAGTATAACCCGCCCTATCTCAGGGGACTCAGGGGAGATAGGCTTTCCATATTCTCATTAGGTAAGCAAGGGAAAGTGTGAGGGGAAGCTGGGTAGTGATGGTTTCTCCCATGGGATGGGGAAGGGGGTGATGTGGGCAATGCAGGGCTCAGGATGACAGTTTCTCCCACTGCCAACCAGATTTGTCCCATTGCCCCACTACCCCATGGATGCCTCCAGCTTGAGGACCTCGATATGATGAGGTCTTTCTGTTAAACGATGCAACTGCCACCCTAATTCACCTTAAAGCCAACTGTTCAGTTGGGTGAAGGAAATACATTCAGGTTCTGATTTGGGTACAAGTAAGATGATGTTTTTATCTTCTCCTACTGATGAGTCAAATGGTGTTGTGCAGAAGTCATTGATACTGTGTATATGTTTAACTGTTAGAATATATTCATGTTGGTAACAGTAGCTGAAGCTAGAGCTAACTGGTTGTATCCACAGTGCGGTTGCCAAGGAGACCAGGCAAGAGAGTGAGAAGTGGGCGGAGCCTAGCAAGAGAATGTTATCTGCGTTTTAAAAAGAAGCAGTTCAGTTGGGAGTTAGGAGTTTGGAGTTAGCAGTTGAGAGAGGAGAGTGGAGAGTGGAGAAGCAGTGTGTGTGAATAGCCAGAGGTTTCTTCAGTCTAGGAAGGCTGAAGGGGGAAACCTAATTAGTTTCATTAGTCAGAGAGGACTAAGGGAAGCTTGTTTAGATCACTAGTTAGGAAAGAACTAGAGATCTAGGATTTGATCAAGAAGGATCAAATTAGAAGGCTGTTCACCTCAGGAAACATTGTTTAAGAAAGTGCTTCACCACAGTAAAAGTCAATCACAGGTCGTATCATCAAGAAGAGTGAACTGTATTGCAAATCAAGTTACATTCCAAGTTCTATAAGTTATTCAAAGTAATTCCAAGTTATATAACAGCCTGCAACCATATGCTTTGTACAAAATAAACTTATTAACTTTTGTTGAAGACCGTGTCATCTCCATTTATCTGCGTCTGGGGAGCCAGTTCTCATCGGCAATACCTCACGTTGGTGGCAGTTACCTTAATTACATCCATAATCATCCACACCTGTATAATTGGTGGCAGAATTTAAGAACAGTCCGTGCAATTGGTGACAGTGGGTGGGTTCTTTAAAGTTAAAAACCCTATACCCTGTCTGTTGTTGGAATTGCAGCACCTTAGCAATTGGCACAATTGTACAACTGGTGCATGCAGACTTCACAAATTTGGTGCCAGAGGTGGGATAGACTTTGCAATTTGGTGTCAGAGGTGGGCTAGACTTCGCACAAGTAAGATGATGTTTTTATCTTCTCCTGCTGATGAGCCAAATGGTGTCAGTCAGAAGAAGATTCTGTGTTGCAAATTCTTCTCACAACCTTGCTTGCTGGAGAGAAAGATTTGGAAATACCATTCTTCTTATGCTCTGAATGGCCATTCTTTGCTAATCTAGCCACTATATCTTAAGTCTTTATTTAGTTATTCAGAAGTAAATATGTAGTTGGTTTAGAATAGTGTGATTAGTACTGATACGTGGGTAGTAGTGGAGAGTTGCATTGGTGGATTGGAACGAGAAATGGATGCAGTCCAATTTCAACTCATTGTGCATCTGCTTTGGAGAAAAAAGCAAACACCAAGGTACGTAATCTAAATGTACTGAAGGCATTAGATCCCATCTGATCCTGGAAGCTAAGCAGGGTCAACTCTGATTAGAACTGGGATGGGAGATCCCAATGAATTCCAGATGCTGTAGGCTTTATTTCAAAAAAAGAAACTGGCAAAACCATATCTATGTATTCCTTGCCTAAGAAAATCTTATGAAATTCATGTGGTCACCTTACATCAACAGGTGAGTTGAAGGCACACACAAATATGTGACATTACTACAAATCAAATACAGTAGAGCCTCACTTATCCAACCTTTGTTCATCCAACATTCTGTATTATTCAACGCGGTCTGCCTCCTGCTCAGATCCACAGTTGTTTCAATACATTGCAATGTTTTGGTGCTAAATTCATAAATACAGTAATTACTACATAAAGTTACTATGTATTGAACTGCTTTTTCTGTTGATTTGTTGTAAAACATGATGTTTTGGTGCTTAATTTGTAAAATCACAAAGTAATTTGATATTTACTAAATCCCTCCTTATTACCAAAAATTTTGCTTATCCAACGTTCTGCTGGCCCATTTATTTTGGATTAGTGAGATTCTACTGTATGATGTCTAGCCGGTCCTTACTTTATGCATGCTATTGAAACTCAGTGTTATACACTTGATAAACACAGCCATTTTCTATGTTATCACATTAGAGACCTTCAAAACACCCAGTAACCGTGATTGTTAGATTTCTTCCTTCAGCATGTCAAAGTAATGTTTTCTGTTTTGGATTTGGAAATTGTATGCAATTTTAAAAACAGGGTGTGTGTTTTTTGTATTCACAGGGATTAAACATATAAAAAAGCAGAATGATGCAGCATTCCCAGAGGAAGATGAAGGAGACAATGAAAGAGATGAGGAGTGGAGCCCATAATTGACACCAGGCATCTGTGGAAGAGCCTTCATTGTCACTAACTGAACTGCTAACATTTCTGTCCTTACAATGGAACTCCATTGCGTATATTCCTGACCAGTCTTCATCTCCGTATCCAGAGGAGGAGATGGATTTTATGGGAAGAATTTACGGCACATAGCAGAATTGGTGTATATTATCTTATATCTGAAGACAACAATTTCTTTTGTAATAACTTTACTTTGTTGGGGGGAATTACTTCAAATATATACTTTGCAACATCTTGAGGCCTCTGTCACTAGTGCTGCCAAAGCTTAAATTCTAAATGTGAGCTGCAGTCTGAGATCAGTTGTAAATAATGCAGATTTAAATGCAACAAAATAAATACAGCATACATTTAAAATAAATGGTGTTTTGTATAGTCTATATTTGTCATGACATCTGAAAGGAAGAGGGGTTTCATGTTTATGTACACTGATGTGGGAAAAGTGTGCTGTGCAGTTTATGTGCATCCCCCAAGGCCCTTTTTGTGGGCCCAGGCCTCATTTAGATGTGGCTGTGCATATGCTCAGGAACCCTTATTGAGCCAGTCACACGAGAGCTGAATACACATATGAAGTCCTCTCAAATGTTGGCCTAGATCAGTCATGGTGAATCTTTGGTTTGGAGTGCCCAAACTGGGGGGGGGGGRGGTTGGGCATTCTGGGGGTGGTAAGCAGGGKGGGGGKGGCAAGCAGGCAGGTGAGCGAGCGAGCAAGGGGGCAGGAAAAAGGGATTAAGATAGTGAACGGGGGCATAATGGCGATGGGGGGCAGGTGGGAGAGCAGGGTGAGTGAGGTGGCAGGAGGTGGGCAAATAGGCAARCAAACAAACAAGGGAGGTGATTGAGTGAACAAATGGTGGGCACATGGATGAATGGGTGAGCGAGTAAGGGGGTGGGCAAATGGGCAAGTGAGCAAGCAAGGGTGGCAGGCAAATAGGCAAGCAAGCCGRTGGTGGGTGAGTGAGCATGCAATTGTGGGTGGGATGCCAAGTGGGGGAGTGGGTGAGTGATAGCACATGTGCCAGGAGAGAGGGTGATGTGCCCCTTCTGGCACACATGCCATAGGTTTGCCACCACGGGACTAAATGCATAGATATTGGGGTGTAGGATTTGGAGGTGTATAGGTGTATTGATAGAAATGTGAGGCATCAGTGTTGGGCATCCATACAGAGTTAGACTTTTTGCAGGGCCAGATTATGCATGATGTAATTAGTACAATTGCTCCGAACCCTCAGATGTTAGGGACATAGTGGAGGAAAGAAACGGTATCGATTGCCCCCCACCACAGTGCAGCGCTCCCCCAATCTCCTTTTATTATCAGCACTTTTGTATTATGTGAATCATTGTCCTTGTGTGCCTTCAAGTCAATTATGACCTATGGCAATCCTATAGTTAACTATCACAGGGTTTTCTTTGTTCAGAGATTTGCAAGATTTGTCTAAAACAGGGGTCTTCAAACTTTTTAAACAGAGGGCCAGGTCACAGTCCCTCAAACTGTTGGAGGGCTGGATTATAATTCCAAAAAAACATGAATGAATTCCAGTGCACACTGCACATATCTTATTTGTAGTGCAAAAGACACTTAAAAACAATACAATAATTAAAATGAAGAACAATTTTAACAATATAAACTTATTAGTATTTCAATGGGATGTGTGGGCCTGCTTTTGTTGTTGTTGTTGTTGTTGTTGTTGTTGTTGTTGTGTGGTTTCAAGTTGTTTCAGACTTGACCCTGAGCGAGGGCTGGGTAAATTACCTTAGAGGGCCGTATCTGGTCTCCAGGCCTTAGATTGAAGACCCCTGGTCTAAAAGATGTTTGCCATTGCCTTCCTCTGCTCATGGACAAACAGGAAGTCAATCCTAGTCTCCTAGTTGTAATGCTCAAACCACTACACTACTATGAAGTCAATATCCATGGGATCATGCTGTTAATCAGATAACAAAAATGGGTTCAACATGAAAATAGTAGTACTGTAACCTATTGGCGTTTGTATTCATTCATTCAATGTTGATTCTGCAGTTCTAAAATAGCTCACACATGTTGCCAAAAAGAGCTTTATTTGAGGAACTGCTCCAGGGCTCTAAACAATTTTATCCTGTCTTGGTTATTTGAACAGTAGTAGCCTTAAGCAATACTAATTCAGCAAAGATTTGCTGGAACAGCCCTAGATAGCAACTAGGGCTACATAGAAAGGCTGATGGAGACAATTTGGGAGATTTAAAGCAAAACAACATAATTGCCCCCTAATTATTGGGAAAATAAACACGTCTTAGGATAAGAAATTGGGGGTGAGAGAATAGAGCACATATCTCTGTGGGAAAACTACACTATCCAAGACCAGGACTCTGTAGATTTCCAAAGCATCTCAAACATAGATCCAGATACATAAATATATATGTACTTTTGAGGAGAGAAGGTGTACTACAGAGATTAGTCAATGGAAAATATGCATTAATATATAGAGAGGGGGGAATGCACACCAAGATACAGACACATTCTCTGCAGCAAGAGGGAAAGCACATTAACATTGGAAACTGAGATGAAATGTTAGGTTTGATATAATTCTGAGAAATACTACAAGAACAAAGGTGATTAATTTTCACATCCTTGTTGTTGTCTCACTTTCCCTCCAGACAGCCAGATATGAAGGACAAGGCCTCACACACAAAAAACCCTTGAAAGAAATTATTTGGCTCAGTATGTATTAAGGTGCAGTGTCGAATGATCTAGAAAAATTATTTCTATTGATTTCCAGAGAACAGTATTGAGCAAACTCTTAAATCTCTCCCTTAAAATCACTGCAACTTCAGTTTGTATAAATTTGGATAGATCGTGCCCTTTGTCTTTTTTTTTTTTTTTGGTGCCCTTTACTAAAAACGTGAGTTTGATTTTGTAATGTAGCCGTGAATTTGATATGTTGGCTTCTTATTACATGTTCCCTGAAGCATAAACTCTGCTCTCCAGAGTCTCTCTAATCATGCTAATTATACCACCAGATGTCATTCTCTTATTTCTTTTCCAGTTCTAATGGGACATTGATTCCATCCTTTTAATATGTCATTTGTTTATCACATTTATCAAGGGTTTTAACGTTATATGGGACTTTTAATTGCTTTTCAAAACCCTCAGCAAAAAAACAAAAAAACAAAATCAACATCTGTAATAAAGCTTATATATTGCATTTAGATTGGGGAATATGCATTTTCATTTGTCATATCAACTGCTGCCTTCGATCTGGGAATGCCAGGGAGTATTATCTACAATTTGGTTCTGTCCAAATTTTAAGGGGGATAGTGAAAATGTTGAACCTATTTGAGGAATGCCTGGTGTTGTTGAAATTGGATACCTTTGATACTGTTTTCAAAGTTCAAAGTAAAATCTAGAGCAGGGGTCCTCAAACTAAGGCCTGGGGGCCAGATACGGCCCTCCAAAGTCATTTACCTGGCCCTCACTCAGGGTCAAACTAAGTCTGAAATGACTTGAAAGCACACAACAACAACAACAATCCTATCTCATCAGCCAAAAGCAGGCCCACACTTCCCATTGAAATACTAATAAGTTTATATTTGTTAAAACTGTTCTTCATTTTAATTATTGTATTGTTTTAAAGTGGTTTTTTATGCAGTACAAATAAGGCATGTGCAGTGTGCATAGGAATTCATTCTTTTTTTTCCAAATTATAATCTGGCCCTTCAACAGTTGAAGGACTGTGACCTGGCCTTCTGTTTAAAAAGTTTGAGGACCCCTGGTCTAGAGCATATTCACTGCCCCATCTACATTGCAGCCATCACTTAATTTCAAATTTCTCTTCCTTATTTTTCACTTTTTTATTACAGCAGTTGTCTCTTGTGTTGAACAATGCCCAAATAACACTGAATATGAGCTCTCTGTAGATGTATCGCAAGAGAAATAAATAAAGGTATCTTTTGAAATTATGTTATATACCATTTTGAAATCTGTAATTCTTCCCTCACACAAATTTTGACATAAAGGTTACAGTTCTACAAAGGAGGTCTGACAGTTGTGGCAGCTTTTTGCTGGATGGATTTAAACAAAACTCTTAGGTTGTGCTGCACACATACTTTTCTCACCAATCTGGCAGATGCACCAAAAAGGGCATTTAGTGCCTTTGTTCCAGCCTGTTAGAATACCTTGCCCCTGTAACAGAGACACATGCCAGCAATGGTGAGGTTTACATGCGTGCTGTGCTAACAAACATTTCTTTTTCCAAAGCAAAGGTGCTTTGTCTATATTCAGTTGAACTGTAATTGAAGAGGTCCACATGATCACAAGCCTTTATGATCATAGAGCTTTGTAACTTTTCCCTGAATAGTGTTACAATGCACACTTTCCCAGGCAACATGAGGAAGGGAGAGGGAGGAGGGTCCCAAACCAGACTGGAATATAATTCAGCCCCTGCTTACCTGCCACAACTCCAGATTCTCCTGCCCATGTTCAAGATCAACTGAGAAAAGATGATGAGAGAGAAACAGACAGAAACATAGACAGGGTAGCCATGTTGTCCATGTATTATTAAAAAAGTGATCCCCTCTAATAATAATAACTATGAATTTATTACATTTTTACAGCTTGGCTGGGTTTCAGCCAAGTTCAGCCCCAGCCCCGCCCCAAACATTCCTGGGAGAATCAATCTAATAATTTAAGTCATTTACCAAGTGTAAAACTGGTTTGACAGGAAACCCCTCAGGCCAGAGGCATTGTCCATCCAAAGAAGACAATGGCCCCACACCCTTTATAGAGGTTTACATTGCCAAAATACGTTGGAACTCCTATATCAGGTTTATATTTTATTAATAAACACAGAGGTGATAAGACTCACATATATGTGCAATGACAGACATATTCCCAGGCACCCAAAGAAACTTGATATGATATATGAATTTGTGAAACTGTTGATGGGGGAGAGAAGTGGAGGTGGAGGTGGGGAAGGGTGAACATTCAGAAAGTAAGCCTGATATCCCTTAGGGGAGCAAGGCCTCTTTAGAAATGTAATTAAAGTCAGGTTCCAAGAAAGCTATCCAAGTGTTTCAGAAATATCAGATCGGAGATGTGTCTCAATGAAGTCTGTGTTGTGTTATATATTTCATGTTCAGTGTGTATAGCTCTGTATTTTGTCTCTGTGGCTGGCTACTATTGTAAATCCCATAATCCCATCCTAGACTTTTTCAGACCATTTCCCAAGTCTTGCACCTTTTCTCCTGGGAGGATCTTTCAAATGCCTTCAGCTTCAAATAGACCAATAACTCTCTTTTTTTTTCCCACCACAAAGGAGATTCCATCTACCTCTGACATCACAAGGAGTCTCCAGCCAATATCTCAGAATCTAGCTCGACCATTCCTGA